GTGGTTATAAAAGGCTTCTACCCCCCAGGAACGAGGTATGCTAACTTTCGCGCTATCTGGTTTATCTTGCCTTTGAAGGATTCTAACTTGAGCTTCGGAGCCCTTACGCCGGGTTCTCCCCGGAGCTTCCCTTCTCCTTCCGTTTCAGGTCCCTGTTACTCAGTTCAGAGGCAAGATCATCGACAGCTAAGACCGGCCAAATTGTGCATCATCATTGAAGAATCGAATGTGTTTCCGCAATGTTTGGATTTGAAGGAGAGAAGAAAAATAGATGCTGTTATGGGCTGATCAAAGATTTTATGCAAAATGGTAGTGAAATTCGGTATAGAATTACTCATCTATCCTTCTTCACTTGACTATTTTTCTCGTTTTACCTAGTCCAATCCAGATGCCTGAATTTAGGAATTATTAATTGGCATATATTGTTTATAAAGGTAAGTAATCAGCAATCACAATCAATCTTTTTCTTCCCCTTTTGTTTTTCGGTAATAGCCATAACAATTATTGGATTAAGATAACCCATAGCTTATTTAGATCGGTGTATGAAAGATTGAAGGTTGAAACCTCAGTGCAGACATGTTCGAATAAGCAAATCAGTTCAAGATTAGAAACAGTTGATAAATGAACACAATCATAAACATAATCCCCCCAAGTATCTACCATCGACACAGATAGGCATTCTATAACAAAGATGAACCATTGTATATGTGGTTCAATTGATTGGGATGAACTTATCTCTACTTTCTTAAAAGTTAAAACCAGAAATATTGATAAAAAAAGTTCAAACCAAAAATGAATCAATATTAAATGATAATATGGAGCTCCATTTCGGTTGAAAACCATGAGGAAATGGTTTCTTTTCATGTGAGAGCCAAATAGCCTGTCAGCATTTATGAGGACACACGCATCAAAAAAAAAGAAAGATAAGATGCCTGTGAAAAATTCCTGAAAATGTTCAGTGACTGAGCATATACAGAAACAAAATCGAATCAGCAAACGAAAGGCATGGAACCAAAAACAAGACAAGATAAAAATAAAAAATAAAAAAATAAGCTTAACATTAACAATGGCAGTGTATCTTGAGATTTATAGGAGTATGCATGGAAGCATGGACAGCTATTATCAATTGGGCAGAACTCCAGTACAAAGTTAACTGTAGGGCTGATATACTGCTTTGCATTCTTTCTGTTATTAAGCAAGAAGTGTTCGGCAAGTGCCTTTAACAACATAAACAATGACATAATACAATACGATTTTACTCATTTAATTGCATAAGCAAACTTTGTCGGTCGTATGAAATTGGCAAGTCCTGTACAGAATGAAAATTGTGAGAGAGGGGTGGCAGACATGGAGCTTTGACCATCAGGTCTCGGCATCCATTTCTACAGGAACAGAATACAATATTCATAGTCATAATAAACATGTGCTTCTCTGCTTGAAAATAAATGGATAACTAGTTGGCAGACGGGACATATGAAGAGATATGGCTATCATGCGCTGAGAAATCCTTGGCTGTTGATGGTATAGTCCCTTTGACTATTGACAAAGACTTTCAAACCCCATATATTCATTATGCTCAAGCTTCTCAACCATATCCGCTATGCCCACACCACCTGCAATGTAGAAAACAGATTGATGAAGCCCTTTGCTTTTAAGCTTGTAGGTTGAGATTTTCCATTCAACTAGCTACTTACCTAAGCCAATTGCACTCACAAAGATGGTTAAAGCTAGTATGAAGATGATCAAAGATGCACGACCGAATAGCCTTATTAACTTTCTCACCACATGCTGACCAGTGAATGCAGCAACGGTTGCAATTAGAACAAAATAAGCAGCTGCAACAGCAAGTGAAATTCACTTTCAATGTTATCCAAGGTAGTAGTAATAGGAGGTAATTCTATGTTAACTTTAGGCAGTAAGTGGAATTAATGTCTTTCTCAGATTCCTCCAACCTAGAACTTAGTTTTTTTTGGAACTCCACTTCGAAATCATGAAGGTTTTCAAGTCTTGTAACTTTGTACAACTATTCATATGAATCATATTTTAATTTAGTTAATGTATTATATTCTATTTTCTTTTTCTTCTACTGAAAACAAAAGATGATGTTATATCTTTCCAATCTTTTGTCAAGGAAGCTGGTTGTTGCTACTTACCATACGGGACTGGAAAACGTTTTAGAAGGTAATACTGTATAACTGACATGGATGATGAGAAAACCATTACAAAGGTTGATGTACTGCTTGCTACCTGCAAGAAGAGGGGAGGAAAAAAAGCTTTATGAAACAATACCAGAAGTATGATATATCCTTTGCTACAGGGAAATCTGTGACCAATTTGGCTAATCTTGCCAAATCATAATACAGTACCTCTTGCTGCTTCAAAATACGAAATAGATAAATTTTCTACAAGACAACCATATCTCTAAATAAGGTTTTGTTTTCAGACAGAATAACATACAAATATATCATCAGAGGTGAGAGTTGCAAATTTTGGGAGAATCTAATTTCTCCCAAAATGGCAAACCTGCAAGGAAAGTAAGATAATTGAATTTCTCCCAAAAATTTTGCTGAGAAACCCTAAGGAACAGTAATGCTATTGATTAGCATTACTTTTGGAATTTGGCTTTGTCTGATACAGAATCCCCCCCTCCAAGCAGAAGGGTCTTATTCTTAAATTCTTATTGTAATCAATTTTGGTCAATTCTAAAAGCTTGTCATGTGGGAAATCTATTTTTCCTTTTTAACAGTAATTGGTGTATGGGCATACCTGAGGAGGAATCCCTAGTTCAAGAAAAAGGGGTCCCAGGATGAAGCCTCCTCCAAGACCAAGCAATCCGCCAACTACACCGGCTACAATCCCACACAAGCAGTAAAAGAAAAGTAGGTGCACTTTCAAATTTGTTACTTCCTTTCCCTTTGATGCAATTACCCTCTTTCCTTTGTATAAGCATACAGCTTCATAGAGCGACACAGAGACAGCAATAGGTACCTTCAAAACATGAAATAATCGTATTGAAACAAACTGGTTGAAGTACCTGAACCTTAAGAGGAATACTTGATCAGACCAATATAAGGTAAATTGTCTCATTTTGACTACTCAAAAAGAGCATTTTCCTTTCAGAAAGAGGCTCTAGGTAAAAGACAAACATAGAACAGGTGGATTAGCGCATGACTTGAATGCTGGAGCATTTTGGTGAGAACAAAGATACTCCAGGGCTAGAAGAGCTTTCAAAATAGAACTTTATTGGAGGTAATGCTCCAAATTTTAGATTGTTTATCAACTTTTGTAGCCAAGTGAAAACATTACTTCTAGTATAAGATCTGCTACTTGCTAATTTTTTGGTTCCATATTATGTTTGTGAATGATCATTTTCAGCTCAGAGGCCTCACCTGCAATAAGTTTAGAAGCCAGTACTCAAAAGAGCAAGTTTTCGCATAAGTCTGCACAGACATTCAGCCAGAGGATAAACGTTATTTCCATGTCACTAGGCAGCAGTGCAATGCATTCAAGACTCAAACAGTGGATTTCTTGGTATATTACATCCATGAGCAAAGCAACTAACCTTAACTATCTGCACAGCAAGAATGGCCACCCATACAGAGACAAGCAGAGTAAGTTCTTTCCAGTAAATGTTGTCCATCACGGGAACCTGGACATTGATGGCAACAATAATAAAGTCTAACTTGAGAGTTTTCAGAAATTGATCAAATCTGCAAATAACTTTCATATACACTTAGCAGAATTACCTGGTCATCCAGCGCTGAAGATGGACCGCCGGGTAGTGGTTTGTAATCCAGCCCAGGACCATCTGAAGTTCAAAACATAATTAAGTTAGTAAGTTACTGATCTAAGATGATTGTCCTTATCCTTGGAACTCATTAGGGTTGTCAATATGTCGCAGATCAAAACCAATACGAGCCCATTATATATGGTCTAGGTCTGCATTATGTGTCCCAAGTATAAATGGGTCAGGATTGGTTTTGGTTGTGCTGAACCGAAATCGGATCTTATCAGGCCAGACTTGATGGTGCCGATTACAGACCCCATATGGTCTGGTTCAGAACTGGTCTGTACGTGTATTTGATAGATCAGGATTTGGCCTATCCTTAGTCCTTACCAGAACCAGACCCGCTACATTAACAGCATCATGCAGTCGTATCTTTCATGTCCTGCCTACATGATCCTAGTTTTTAGGAGGATTTTGGGAATTTTCTTATAGGCATTGAATACTGACTAATGAAATGGTGGATATAGATGTTCTGAAATATGGTTGGGCATCCAGGATTAGGTGAGTTTCTGGTGGCTGATGTCTTCCATAGACTTGTTCTTTCACTTTGTCAAAAAAACAAAAACGCCATCCTTGAATTTCTGGGATATCTTTGGTTAAGAAAGAAAATGTCATTATCCGTATTATTTCAAAATTTCTTTGGATATTCTGGGGAGTGGGCATTTTTCACATTATACAATTCTTTTGCCATATATTTAGCATTCACAGGGAAATTTATGAGATTTTGCTTGAAGGAAGGGACTTTTGGCAACTCACCAGTTGGTTTAGTCTCTGGCTCCAACAATCTAGCTGCCTCCTGGAAGTCAACAAAAAAGAAAACCATCAATTAACAAAGTCCAACAAGGGGAAGAGCTGTAGAGGTCGGGATATAGCAAGTGGGGACTGGAGACGCTTGCCTTCTTCATTATTGTCTCTTTCTTCCATGTCTCTATGCCTTTGAATAACGCTTTAGTTGAAGTACCTATCACCATAATTATAGACCGAAATTCAGACACCGACCTCGGCAGAGTTCAACCATACCCACGTACGTACATATAAATTGTATTGACTGCTATTTAACAAATCATCTCTGGGCTGTTCGAGAATTAGCCCGCTGTAATTATCTGGGAGATTGAATCCCACTGAATTAAAATTATGTATCGTTTTCTAATCTTCTGCTACGTATGTCAAGAACCCAAGAAAGAATCAGATCGAGTTATGCTATTCTGTAAGCAAGAAGGAAGACGCTTCCAAAAGAAGCTGAAATTGATATATTTTTTTTCTTTTTACCCAGAAACAGGATGATAAGCAGAAGAGTAACCATCCATTCAGCAAAGATGACATTGAAGGCAACCCCAATGCTGATGCCTAGCATGAGCATCGGCTGAAAGAGCAAGGCGAGGTCAAAATCGATGACGGGCAAATCCAGCGTTGGGTGCCGGATCCTCAGATTGTAGTACACTGCTGACCCTGCCGCACCCATTATCATACCTGCAAAAGTTGATTGTAGAAAGTAAAAAAAAAAATTAGATACTGAATCAAATTAAAATGAAATCTAGGACTGTATATGTGTTTTCACCTCTCTAGTAATCCGCATAAACTAAACGAGGCTTGGCATTTTCCAGCTAAACCACAACAAATAACAATTTCATTCAATCATCAATCAAATACAGAAATTTTAAACCCAAATTCTGAAATTGAAGATGTTCTCACACTTGTATCCATTTCTGGGTGGCTGAATGGAATCTTTATAAGGATGACCATTTACAATCCAAAAGTTATATATATATATATATAAAAAAAAACAGCAATAAGAAAAAGCAATTTATTGCTAGTTGAAAAGATTAAAAGAACTGGAAACAGAGGTGATGAAAGAAAGTAGACTAAAGGGTGTTCTACAACATTATGTTCAAAAACAAAAGTAAACATGTTGTCAAACACCACCAAATATAATTTTGTCACGTGCATAGAATCATCTATAATATACATAAAAATTTACTAAAAATACACCGTAAAAACAAAAAAGAATCGATTTATTGTAAGTTTTGACGGAACAAGGACATGGGTTAAAGTAATAGAAATGATTTTAACTTTCATTCTAACTATCAAAAAAATAAAAGAAGAAAAAATGATTTGGACACTCATAATTTAACAATAGATCAGAATGTACCCTACCGGCCCACCCATGTAGTTGGGATAAGGTTTAGATGACAATGAGGACTAGGAAGACGAAGTAATGACTAAAGATCCATCGGAAATGCATCAAAGCACCTTGTCTACGAAAACTTTTGCTTGTAAATCAAAATTATGTAATGTTAGCAACTTCATTAGTTTATGAATATTTGCAGAAAGAGACAACCCGGATCATACCCACAAGAATTTTATTCACGAGTTTACATTTCCGTCCCATAACGTCCCACAGCATATTCTCCCTATGCATGCGCATTGGGAACATCTATCATCAGGAGTGATATTATTATTGGGAGATCTTCCCAATACGTTGTGGGGCGGAGATGTGAACTCCTTATTCACACCTACTCACAAGATACTATAACTGTATATTGCGAACATAAATGATAACGCGCAAATATAAAAGATGTTCTCAATGTACAGCTTATAGTAATATGTGGGTAGGTGCGGATAGGGTTCTCGTGGGTAGGTGATGGAAGTGTGGTCAAAAGTGGTGGGGGCAGTTTCCTCTTAATCAGTTTTATTTATGTATGGAAAATTGGGGATACGGGGGAGAGAAAAAACAAATGAATACGGACATTTGGAAATTGCAGTAGAGGACTTTGCGTCGAAGCCGATGATCAAGGTGAGCATCGGCACGAAAATCCCACCACCGCCGACGCCTCCAACGCTGCCAAGTGCTGCTCCGAAGAATCCGATTATTGAACCCAGTACCAATCTCCACTCAAGCTTCATTTCCTATACAGCAAACCCAGAAAGCATTAATGAAAAAATAATTAATAAATAGTACTACAGAAGAAGAATTTCTTCAATGGATCTCCTAGAAAAACTAGAACAGAGTATCTAAAATCCTATTAACTCATCAGTTATCAACAGCATAATTACAGTCAAGCAGAGAGACTGAGAGAGAGAGAGAGTACCGGCCAAACATGGTGATAAGTAGAGTTTTCGTTCTGTCGGAGTAAATTAATGAGCCTGACCATATACCCATCTTCTCTAATCTCCTTCTCAACCAAAACCTGTTGATCAACACCTCTTAAGAGCCTCTCTGCAGCACCTACCTGACACACCATCATAACACCCCAAAACACCACCCATGCTGCAACAATTGTACGGTTCACCGCAAAAGCAGCCATCCACTGTGAATGTGCGTTGCTGAGAAAGAGAGAGTGAGAACTCTTTTTTTCTTTCTTTTCTCTCTGTTTTTCTTTTTTTTTTTTCCCCTCTCCTCCCCCTCCCTGTCTCTCTCTCTCTCCCTCTGCTTGACTGCTACAGGCAACCAGATAGACACTAGAGAAGGAGTTCAGGATTGAAAACAGTAGTCCACGCCTTCAACTTGCTTTGCCTATCATCTCTCAATACAGCGTGCGTATTTATAAATTATAACTAACAACAATTAAAAATTAATTTGCTCCTCTTTTTCTTATTGGTCACGTATTAGGTAACGTTAGTAATGTGAAGATTCTTTCACCAAAAATATATTCAATTGGATAAATTTTTGGGCGAATTACAAAGATTAGTGACAAATACCTCTCAGAACTTTTATTTGCAATAAGGACCCCCTAAACTTTCACTTTGAAACAAAGACTCCCTCACCGTTAAGTCAAATTTTGGAAGGCATTAAATTACCAAAATGCCCTTTTTGTAATTCATGGGATTAGAAATTAAAATATCAAAATGACAAAAATGGGCAAGATAATTCCCATTCTCTCTACTCTTTGTCCATTTTCTCTTTAACCCTAATAAATCCAAAAACATTGTCAGACCCAATTTCATGAGAACCCTATATCACTTTCCGGTATGTCTTTGCTGGATATGGAAAAATCTCTGGCAATAAAAAGTAGGAAAAATGACGGTTCAGCCCAGGGTCAGAATTTCTAGGCCCAAAGTATAATTGGGTAGGTGTCAGCTCAGAATTGATGTTAATTCACGGTAGGCATTGATGTATAAAATGGGGGTTTTTGACATTTTAAATATTTATAGCTCTGCAGTGAAAATCAGAAATCTGTATTAAGCCTGTCCATACTTTTTGATAAAAAGTATCTTTTGTAGTTCTTATGCCATCATTGGAGAAGAAGATATTCTCTATTTCGTCACCAACATAGGAGAAGAAAGTAGGAACCAAAGTGTTTAACCATTAAATCAGAGCTACGAGAAGTGTTTTCAACTTCTTAGATAAGAATAAGGCAATTTTGAGATTAAAAAACTTTTAAACAGCCAAATGAGAAACTTTCTTTAGGTCGAAATGTAAAAATTCAGGTGAGTAGGTATTATCATTGACTCCGTAGTACATGGATTAAAATATTCAATGAAGTTGCTTATTTTCGTATTATGATTTCAGTAATATCTGTATGGGAATCACCAATGATCAACCACCAACTCCGCGTATCAGGGTTACAAGTAACCATAGAGCCAGCTCATTCATGTTTTTTTTTTTCGGTGGAGCATGTGTTATTGTGATTATTGGGTTCTAGGAGAAACCTGTAACTATGATCATAGACAAACTCCGGCTATCATCCTTTTTTCAGTTTGAAAATATTTTCCATTGGCTGTGTCTCTATTTGATTTGCAGTTGGAATTAGAATAGTCCATTCCCATAGTTTTTTTTATTCAGACAGAAATAAGAATGAGAATTGGAATAAATAAGAATGAAATTTTATTTCCAATAGAACTGTAAGGAATGGTCATTCCCTTAAATGGGGGAATGCCATTCCAGCAGAAATGGAAATAGAATTCCGATTCTGCTCAACCAAACAGTTGGAATCAGAATAGCCCATTCCAATTCCGATTCCAGACCCCTATTCCTGTGAATCAAAACAAGCTTGTTTATTTATGGCAAAATACATTCTTAACTTGATGGACGCCTTTTTTTAGTAGATAAATAATCACAAAATAAAGTATTTAGATATAAGCCCTAGCAATCAGTGCATCATTCAAAGACATCACAACCTACTAATGACTTTTATTTGCTAAAAGGCAAAGTAATATATCAGTAATTCAGCCAATTCAGCTGTTTTCAAATGGCCCTAAGCCCCAAGTGCCCGTTTGGAAAGGATGAACTTGATGCACAATGGCATCTGACTTTTTAAGGTGGGCTTCATATGGATATACATTTGATGAAAATTTTGGAGAGTAAATTAGTTGTCCGTCACTCCATCAGTTATTTGAAAGGCCATCAACTCTAATCTCTGTGAACAATTTATTCGGAGCACTCTAAACAGTTGGACCAGCTTAATTGAATATTCAGCTCAGCCCCTCCCAAATGGGCCCTTCAATCTAAGTCTTCAGACATGTACCACCACCATAGCCACTGTATTTGCATAAAATTCTCTCTCTAGTTTGTAATTGGAAACTTGATAGCATTGATCGATTAATTTTGATAAAATAGTATAATTTTACTGATGTGATAGTTGTTTCCTTTTTTGAAAACAAAACTAACCATGTTGTCAAGCACCCCCTTAGGTATAACTCACATCACCAGGTAACATTGGCTCATGGGTTGAATGGTTCAGCTGTCCAATTCAAACATCAATTCATCCAAGTAAAAAATTGTACAAAATAAAATATTAAAAATAGTGGATGGGTTGAATGGTTCACTTGGCATCCTCAAAAAGGAATGGCGGGATCAAACCTGTATAATCACAGGCTCTCCATGGTAAGATCAACCTGCGTTTTTCCCTAACCCATGAGTTCCCCTGTAATGTTTGTCATGCAATATGAAGAAAAGGAATTATTAAACTTGATCTCAAATTGCATCTATTCGTGGGCTATTAGGGTTAATTTGGTAAGAATATAAATATAAATATGTATGTTAAAATATATATCAAATAATACAAAATATAAGGTTTTACATTCTATATATTTGTGTTTGTACTTAGGTTCAGTTTTGAAGAAATAATATATAGAGTATAAATACATACAAAATGTAAGGTTTTACATTCAATTAAGTCTAAGAATATAAATATAAATATGTACAACACAAATACATAAAAAATAATATAAAATACAAAGTTTTGCAATCTAAATATTTATATTTGTACTCTTTTCAAACTTTATGCAGTTTTGGATGTTATATTTGCTGTTCAAATTTGTTGGATGAGCAGGGGGCATTGGCAGTGTGTTGGCAGCAACATTGATCATCATCATCATCCATTAATGGAGATGTGATATAAGTTGTTGACTCCAGTGTGTTAATGGAAATATTATTTTAAATTTTGATAGGGTTTTCCTTTAGTGGTTTAAGTGGGTCAGGTGTTAATGACTTTATAAGGCCCATCCAGTTTTAATTTAGAAATGGGAAGGTAGGAACTCCACAGTGCTGCTAGTCCTGCAACATCCAGCAATCCTGTTGGGGATCTTTTGGATTCACTCTTGTCCAGTCACCAATCCACATCAGCTCTATACCCTACTCGTATTGGAGTTTCTCTCAATTGGTAGTTATCCAATTTTATACTTTTTTTATTAGTCAGGATAGTATCCATAAAATAAGATTTTAGCATTTTTTTTTAAGTTGTTTGAGGGGTTATATAACAGCGGGTGGCCCATCCTCTAACCCCCACCCCTGGTTACCAACTTACCATCAATTGGTTATCATTTGTGATTTGAGCCCTCATTCTGATTCTCCTAATAATGCTTAACATAAATAGAAAAATAGGGGATGGCTGGATACACCCGTTGTGTAGCCCTATGGGCTACGTAATCAATCAGGGTGAACATCAGTACAACAGACTATGTAACCAATCAATCAAAAGTCATTCAACGTGTCATTCAATTTTTGCTAATTTCTAAAAAATTAAAAAACAGTAGGCGCTCATATTGTTTGTTTAGTTCTCTAATTAATCTCTTTTCAGCGCCTTGATAATCGAACCCCTAATATTCAACCAAAAACTTAAAAAGTCTAAAATTTAAATGAGTTAAATTACTATTTTTTATCCCTTATTTGTTTCTCAAAGTTATGCAATATACCAACACATCCACACCCTATTGTGGGAACAAATTACACAAAATGTCACTATTTAACACCCATGTCATACAACAAAATTACATAACGTGCCATGTGATGTCGTACTTTTGAATCATTGTATAACACCTTAGCATCACGTGGGCAGCATCACCTTAGTAAGGGTCGAGGAGGGCATAGCCTTACACGGTGTATAGACCCCGGTCGAAGCAGACCAGGGACCTTGGTAGGAGGGCTGACCTTTCGTCAAGCATTTACCAACCTGACCAAGGTCTGAGGTGGCAACTTATGTGATGTGGCGAACAACTTTTGTTACGAATAGTTTATTGTCTCTGATTCCTTCAGGATCACATCACCTGATCAACAGAATTGACTTACATGCCACGTGCTTCAGAGATAATTGAGCCTCATCACTATTTGCTAAAACTGCCTTTGAAGGGTGGTGGATCAATAGTCTTTTCTTTCAATTAATGATGCATGTGGGATATACTTATTCGCTTAAAAAATACTTATATTTTACTATATTTTATTACATTTAATATATAGTTATTGTACTTTATTATAGTTTATTATATTTAATATGTAATCATTATATTTTTCTATACTTTATTATATTTATTACATAATTATTATAGTTAATTGTTTAATTAAATATGTATATTTAATTATTATTTTTATTGCATACAAAATAGATAATTAATTATATTATTTTTATTATTTAATTATATCTATTTATTTAACTATGTAATTGTTATATTTAATCACATATAAATATTTAATTATTATTTTTTATTAATTATAAATAAATATTTGATAAATATGTAAATATACATTATTATTGACTAGTTATTAGCGGATGGGGTATTTTAGTAATTTTCTTCACAAATAAATTCATTTTTTTTATTCTTTCTCCAATCACTTCACCTTTACAAAGCAATTATTACTTATCATAATATTGCGAGGGATAAAATTATTAATTATCATTTTTCAGAATATATATCATAGATATATATTCAGAAAAAAAAAAACAAAAAATCATAACTTTTCATAGTACTTTTGTCAAAGACAACTTGCTTTCCAAAAATCAAACATCAATACAAATAAACAGGCCTTAAGTCAACTAGATCAGACCCCATAAAATATCGAATTAAATATATATATGAGGGTGTTCTTTCATAATGGTGTGGGAAAGGTACACCAGTTAATTGGCTGAGGCTTGGGTGAAAGTCATCTTAGATGACCAAATTGCGAGTAACTCATTGGACAAGAGTATACTTGCTGAACTTGGTAGCTGTGCTATGGGCTATAGAAGTAAAATCAATCATTATTAATGAGAAATAAATGAAAGTGAGAGATGATTTATTGTGGATAATGTGGATTTGCCACAAT